ACAAAGATTCAAAACTTACATGTATTGATGCAACTACAGAAATAATCTGCTGCAAGAATTGCCACAGATGTATAAAAGGTATCATACAGCTCTCCTTTACAGAGGAAGTCATATTCGCTAAAAATTATAACAAAGATAAATAAAACTATATGAATAAACGATTAAAATTAATAACTAAAAAAATAAAATATTTTTCAGGGTTGTCATTGGAAACATACGACCCTCTCACTCTCTCTCTCTCTCTCTCTCTCTCTCTTTCTCTCTCTCACTCCGGAGATTATAATCAAAATAATTTCTTGTACCTAAATCGTTTTAATTTAAAAACGTTACGAATCTTACCGTATAACAATGCTTTTTGCCAATTCCAAGATATCATTTTTATCGAATGATCCTTGTGATATTGCTAATAATGGTTTCGTTACTGCTGACCATGAATAGCTACCACGAATCTTGGTCGCCATTTTTGAAACTGTTCGACTTTGTTCGAACCTATCTTTTCTTTTTCCACAGTGGTACTTTAACTATATACGTTTACATATTTATACATGTATCTATAAACGTTTATTTTACGTATTATGCCTCTGTGTCCACCCTGAATGTTTCTTCTTCTTCTTCTTTCTATTACTTCTCCTCCTCTTCTTTTACGATATACTTACACTTGCGCAATTTTTAAACTGCACATACATTTACGTAGAATTCTGTTCAAGCTTTCACATACGCACGCGTACATAATATTTACTCTAAAAAACAAGAAAAAAAAAGAGATTAGAATAGTTCAGAAAAACGAAGAACAGACAGGAAAACAAATCAAGTCGAAAGAAAAAGGAATAAAGAAGAAGCAATATTCGATTTCATATATAAACACATTTGATTCCTCTAATAAGATTTCTTGCAAATTTTTAGACACTTTTCATATCATGCAATGTGTACGAACTTAGAGATTTGCGTATTGGACTTAAGGTTTCCACACACATCTTTTTTCTTATATTACATTGACTGACTTGTATTCCTTATGAACTATGTCAGTCATAATTACATCTTTAGATATGCCGACAACATATACTAATGACAAACGAACACGATAATAAAAATGTGTATGAAACTTCATTTATTAAAATTAATTTTAAGGTTTCAGAGCATATTGTCGTAGATAAACATAAGGATTGATATGATATAAAGATCATCTTTGTTTCTGAATGGAAGAAAACTTATTTTAAAATTTGTCTTATATTTCAAAAGTACTGGAATAGTGATATACGAAACACGACGAAGCAAAGTATGATGTCCCAAAGTATTTGAAGGCGATAGATGACACGTTTTTGTAAAAAGTATATTTTTTCAACGTAATAACAATGAATACATACAATCAGTTATCTATACTAATGGGAAGAAGCAGATTTTAACTTACAATTGGCTTAAATTTTTGCAAATCATGTATGTATAATACATAAGTAGCATGTATTACTTTTAATTACTTGTTTAGTTCATGGATAATGCTAAACAAGATTTGTTTTTCCTATTTACAAAATTTCATACATATTACACCAAATGAAAGTAAAATAAGTTCAAGTAAGTTTATTATTACTAAATATATTAATAACAATAGTGTCGATGGAAAAGAAATATTGCAGTGATAAATTAAAGCGAAGATACTGATTGACCTAGATGCACCTAAGGCTGATGTTTATTAGACTAAAATGAAAAAATCTTAAATTTCAAGTCCTCTATTTCAACCCTCTATTTCAAAATCCATTTTAAAGTCTGGCTAATTCTCTGATTTCGCTATATCTTTTCCACCAACAACATATTTATAATTATTAAAATGCAGTCAAAAGATTAAAAGAATTGCATACACATGGCGCACAAACACACGCGCATAAATCAATATATTATTATCGCACCTTTTTTAAGCTTAAGTAAACGATCAATTTAGATCTCTTTTCTTCAATTAGACGACCATTTATTCATACGCTATGTTTAACAGTAATGATTATATTTATGAAATAGAAGGATAAACAACAAATTACAAACAAGCATAACAAAATATTGTTCACGCTTTACAGGCAATGTACAAGGATATCGTCGTATTAAAACTTTATAAATACGAAAAATAGCAGAATATTAAAGCTGTACGATATTACTATCATTGCAGGTGTATAAGTTCGTAGAAGGTTTTTTCGTGCTACCCCTAACCAAAGCTTCCTGGTACTCAACAAAAGTGTTCTTTGACAACGTTTACCGTGTATTGATGTTATTTGTTACTAAAATACCAGATTTCTAAAATTCGGATTTACATTGATAAATACAAACGTAGTACATTGACTTTTGCTCCTTAGATTTTATAACTCTAAGTCGTTGTAATCATATATGGAAATTCAACAAAATTAAAACGATTTCATACCATCTTTGATCAACAGCTGAATATTCGCTTACCAAAATTTGACTACTGGCAGTATTGTTGGAAGTACGTCGATTGAAAGAAGCTAATAATAAGACCGTCCTAATGACATTTCTTTATATTTTTATCAACTTGGTACTCGTTGTCAATATACTCATTGAGTCACTCGATCATAGGCAATTAAAAGCTATTTTCGATTCATAATATTGCTTTTTTCACCTCGACTTTTTCAATTATAATCATATTACATTAAATTTTAACATAATGATCAATGCACCTATACTATTGATACGATTGAAACCATGAAGTAAATCCAATTTAAAAAAAAGCATCATTTTTTGATAAATTTACGATATTATTTGCTACGTATCTAAGAACGAAATGTAATCTTGTTGGTATATTTAATTTTCTTGAGCACTATGATTTTATTTGATAATAACTACTTTCGCTCAAACAAAAATAAAAATATCAAATAAATCGTAACATCTAGAAAATTAAAGGAAAAGTTTTAACGATTACTGTTAATTTTTGTTTGCATAGAGATAAAATCAATGAGCAAATAAAATCTCCGTGTATCGTAGCATATATATTCACGTATAAATCCGTGATGTATCTGTTTGTTCGCAAATTATGAAACAGGTATTCAGTATACTTTCGAGACCCGGAAGATATATATGTATATGTATACATAAGGATCAAGCAATTAGGCATGTTTCTCCTTCTATTAGGTATACCGATTGTTAGATATTGAATATATATTAACCCTTCGTAGATAAACATCTCTTTTTACAATCTGTAAGGCCGTTTAACTAGATCGTTCATATTCAAGTTAAATTTCCTAACCAATCTATTCTTTCAAAAAATTTTTTGAAATTTCATAATTACTTATCAATGTTTATATTACGCTATACAAATTGTATTTGTCAAGCTGAACATTTGAAAAATTTGTCAATAAAAATAAAAATTTGGAGGAGGTATAACGACTCAGTTTTCCAACGAAGGGTTAATTTTACAAAAAGATATCATCTAATATTTATAACAAAAAGCCCTATATATCAATAATTTTCAGTTCCAAACTAACTCTAAGAAACTCATTGAATTTATGGTAAACGTTGATGTTTTAAGTGCGGACGATAGATTCTTAAAATACAAATTTCGTCAACGCGCATACAATATAATTGTGAAGAATTTACATATATCAGATCTCTTCATCGCGTGTGCCGATTAGCTATGGAATTCCAGATCGTGTTTCAGTGTAGAGGAACACTGGTACGTATAAGGCATCTATCGTTAATAACAATATTTTTCTCAAAGATCCTCGATTTCACTACAAGTGATGAAGAACTACACAGCCTCAAAGGTTCCACCGTTGAACAGATCTGATTTACAGAATAAAGTTGTCATTTATATAAATAAGCGTATGTTATCAACATGTTATCATGTTAAAAAAGGGAAATAATCGAAGAATATACAAACTTGACCCAAAAGAAAAACAGTCCACAAATTAATCATTTTAAATGAAGTTGTACATTTTCATTTTAGTGCCCATTTAAATATTCATTGAAAAAAAATCATGGAAAATTATACGAGAATTGAATAATTCTTTTGCTATCTTTAGTTATGTCGTGTGTAAGTGGACACGTTATAAATAAATAAATACATAAATAACTAAACATTATCGAAAAATGAAACTATTGCTTACACATTAAATTGTTGCAAACAAGTTTTTTTTACCCTGCACTCATCAAGTATTACGAGTTTGCAAATTTTTAAAACATTTTCACTTTTTAACATGTTATATACAATATTCATATACTATTGTCACGAAGAGAAAATATTCTCGAATTGAACGTATACATTTAATGAGCAGTATGTATGAGCATGTAGATAATTCTACACGGATTTAGGATCTTGTATTTAATTTGTACTCTATCCAACCCGTAATCTACAGTTTTCAATATCTTGTCTGTTTACTTATTGTAATTTGTATAAGCCAAGAACGAATCGCTGCAAGCGAATAATATATTATTTTTCCTTTAATATAGTACAAATAGATAATACTTATAATATATTTATGATAAACAGTATGTTTTACTTGACAAGAAATCGGTTATGGTACGTACAATGTACAAAAAATGTCAAATTCTGTATACTGCTCATATATGTATATATGTATATATAAGAGTATAATACACAGCATATCGATTTTTTGCTCTTTACCATTCCTATTTATGAAATATCAAGTTCTTTCAGATCATCAAATTTTATGCGAATCACATAATTATGTAAAAGTACCCGCACATGCCTGTTCTACGAGATTTGCACGCTAGTTTTAAAATGAAAATTTATTCTGTTTTTTCTTATTATTTCTACCTCCTTTTCTTATTTGCGGGAATAGACAAACAAATAAATAAATAAATATAATAAAAATAAATAATCGAATATAATTATTGACTAATTTACGTTTACAAACATTTTCCATGGATATATATATATATAGATCCATATATATCCATAAAGATTGAAATATGCTTACAATACATACAAACGCGTGTGCGCGTGTGTGCGTGCGTGTGTGCGCGCGTGTGTACATATATATGTATGTATTGTAAGCATATTTCAATCTTTCTGGTTTGTCATTGCGTGTGTATTATGTATTTCTCTTTCTTAAATTTTAGTCAAGTTAGATGAAATAACAAGAAAAAGGTGAAAGAAATCAAATCTGATTAATGTCCATCCCATCCGCGCGTGCAAACGCAGAAAAGGCAATTCGGTCGTCTATATTATTGCGTAGAACTAACGGAAGAATGATCACTGTCCGTTGATGCTGTATCCGAAAGCGGTACAGAGGATGATGCTAGTGGTGGCGAATCAGATGCAATGTAATGGTCACGAAAGACTTTTATGGATGGTTGTCGTTGAGATGATAAAGTGATATTTACATTTTCGGGTAAAGGGGGTAACACGTTAGTTTGAAATTGTCCGGATATATTACCAACAGGTTGATAATTGGCTACTACGATGATTTTTCCGCTTCTACTACGTGCTTTTCCAACCCCGAAATAACGACTGCTTGCCCAAATTACTTGCGTAAAATGACCTGTAATACATGATATTTATAGCAACCAATTAATTGTGTGAGAAGATGGTATCTATAATTTACATTGTTACATTATACTGCCTTAAGAAGATACCTGCGTTTACATTAGCATGAAGAATATCCGGTTCTTTTAAAAAGTCATATTGTTTCACCGCTGAATACCAATACGATGCAACATCTTGCCCGGTTACATCGGTAGGGACAGCACCACCAGGTCGACAATAAAGATTTTGTCCAACTTCTCGATCGTTTCTATAGTAAAATGTGTTGGTGTGTGCTAAATGATTGGCCCATGTTTGTGCATACTCACACAACTGCAAAAGAATATTGAATTTCAAATTGATGACAGACTCTAATAGCATCAATTCATCCAATACAAACATATGTATGTATACATATGCAATGCGTACGTAATACGGTAGGTTTTATGTATACATATACAAGTGTATGTTTCTTTTCTTCTATTTTTACCTGCCTCTATTTTTCGTTTCTCTTTGTTAGCAAAAAACTTTGTTTTTTATATATTAAAAGAACATTATCCCTACCTGCGGCGACATGGTTAAGGGTGGAGCATTGTGTCTTTGTCGATAAACATTGTGCCAGCATAAACATTCCGTTATAAATTCGCTATCTCGCCAGTCAGTCTCCAAATCGTTACTATCATGTGCGATACTCATCGGCCTGTTACTCAGGATCTGTGTTGTATCGACAAAAAAAGAGCAGGGGCAGTAAAAATGTGCCATTCTGATAAACTAACCACATAGGCTTGTTCGTCTCGTTCTGGGTTAGTATCCTAAGCATTTGACCTAGATCGTTGAAAGATTTCGTTCTCTCACCTTTTTTAACAGCTTCGGTCGATTGTCAAGCTGATGAATTTGATCATTATTCAAAACCGAAGATGTAGAAGTCGATCCGCAGGTATCTGAAATTCGATTTGCTTTATATAATTTCGATTGCTCCACTCTTTTTCGGAGATTTTCCAACGCTCTTGCCTCTTCCCTCTTTCTAGAAGGAGGCCAATTCGCGTTCGAAGTATGAATCATACTAATACCGACGGACGACGTATCCTAAAACATGAAAGAACCAAGTATTATCAGTCTCTGAAAGTTCTGTCATTTGCTTCCGAGTTTCGTTCGTTTCATTCTCATTTAGAATAAATATTATACAGTATTCTTGTTTTCCTTCTTAACCCTCTTTTACGAATCGCCTTCCACTTTCTTTCGTGCTTCAAATTAAATACCGATTATGTCGAATCTTCGCGCACAAGTTGAATACAAGATAAAATATATGGACCACACGATAAATATGATTTCGCGAAAATATCAAAGTTTCTTACATTACATATTATATAGAATATTCTATCTAATAAGTATGTACAATATCAGAAATTTTAGATTTTAATAAGTTATCTTGTTTTCTTTTCTTTAAGTTGACAATCCGTCGAATAAATGCAACATGAACGAATGTAAAATAATTTGGGAAGAAAATTTAGCAAACTATACCTATCTTTTTTTAAAGATTCAAGGAACGCTCCGATTATGCATCATTCAATAACGTATCGTCTGTCATCAGTTGAATGCATTCATTCGCCGTATTTTTCGTATTTGGTATATTGATCAAATCGTTATATACTTTACGTAGAGAACAACAAACGAAGAAAAAGAAATAAAATACACCACCTTTTGATTATTGCCATTAGTAAAAGTAAAATCTGCCAAATGAGCTGTTTGACTAAGTAAACGACGGCTAGCGGGACATCGATTGCGATTTATCATTTCTTTTTGAATAGCGTATTCGATGAAATAACTTTCAATTTCGATGTTATCGCGATGGGATGGCGATAAAAGTTCCGTAGTTTCTTCCGCAGTATCAAAAGTGCGATTCACTTCGCGTAACTCCATAACGAGATAACTTTCAGATTTCCTGCAATCGACTGCAATATTACTCGATTACCGGCTGTCTACCGTCTACTGCTGAGCTACCACTTTCAACCACCACGATTCACCTGATCCATCGGTATTCCCTACCCCTTTTTTCCTTCCTTCCTCAATTTATAGAAACTACCTTTGCGTCGTCGAGCTCTTGTCTAGCCCTACCTACTCATGCGCATCTTCAACCTAACTATATCTACAAATTTCCGCACTGTTCCACATACGGGGTGGTGCCCTTTCGCAACTCACCAAAATTCGACATACACGCATGTACGTTGCGACATCACTGCAGTCTCTCGATATTCTTTTAGCACATTGTCTGTCGCGGTGATCATCGGTAACTCACGAGTTTTACTAAATTTTGTAGAATGGTTAAAATAAAATAAATTTCACGAATTAAAAAATTGTCAACAATGTGAATAACTTACATAACGTTGTCAGAAAAAAAGTACGTAAATAAAGTGTAATATTTTGTAAAAATTAAATATATAGTGTAATATATCTAAACCCATCATTGTCTTAGGACGATGTATATAAAATTCGCGTAGCAATCCAAGTAGTACAAGTTTTGAGGGCATGCTTAGTTATAGAAAAGAAGAGGGGGATTGGGTGTTAGAGATTTTGTACATTAATATTAAAAAAATTAAATCTGACAAATAATTTTCTGTATTTTACGTAGAGAAGTAAAAACTTTTTAACATATTTCTCTGCCTGATGAATATTTTACAGTACAATAATTTCATGTGCCAGGTTTTTTAATTCTGTCAGGATATCTGATTTATTGAAGATGTCATTTCATTCAAGCTGCAGCCCCACAGATAAAAATCTGAAACATTTAGGTCATGAAAAGTTGATAACCATTTAATGTGTCCATATAACAAAACAGGTCTGTTAGGAAATATTTTTAAAAAATTACTATTGAGTATTTTATATGTATAGCAATAGCTATTAAAACAAAACACAGTTTAATTTTAGTAAATGAAATCCTTTTACCATTCTTCTCTCACCATTTATGTTTATTTGTCACAGTTTATCTTTCAGCATTTTCGAAGAAATGAAGATTTAATTCATTTTTTTAGTAGATATTCTGCATTTTTAATCTTAACTAGTACAATCAAAATTTAATACAAACATAACCTAATATAACCTAGTCATAGCACGAACACACAATTTTAATCTAATTCAACATTATTGAAGTAAATCTAACTGAAACACAATCTAATATAATTTAACCTAATCTGGCTTACTTAACCTCTATGCTGCATAATTAATTTCTGCAATTATTTTTTAGTAGTATCAATTTTAAAAGAAAAAAATTCTTCAATTTTAAACTACTTTTTTTCTTTCATTTCTTGTGGTATTGACATATATTGTTGTTAATTCACATAATAAAAGAGAATAACTTTTAACAGCAAATAGATTAAATCAGAATCTCCTAATGGACACGTACACAGAACTGTTCATCTGTAATCGAATATCTCAGCCTAAAGATTCAAGTTTAAAGACACGTTTAAACTTGACCTAAATTATTGGTATTTTTTGTCTGTTTTAATAATAGATCAGATTTATAATATAATATAATATAATATAACTTTATAAATTATATTATATAAATTTATTTATATTATAAATAAATATAAATATAAATTATATTATATAAATTTACGATAAAACTGAATTTAATTTACGAAAGTTTGACGTCTATTTATTGAGATTTAAATAATTATACAGAATAATTATTTTGAAAGATAAAATCAATTTACGTACATGGTGAAGCATTTGAAACAGGCCATCTGTGTGACTCGCTTGGTTTTGATGGTAGAAGGATATACATCAGACTAAACTTGCTTGGTTTTGAGAAAGGCATGATTTGTTGTTAATAGCTTTTTCATACGTGGAGATGTAGAAGAGCTATCGAGATCAGCTCTACTTTTTATACACAACATGCTTTTTTACTTAAAAATATGTTTAAATATTTTGTGTAAGCAAATCGCAAAAGGACATAATTTGAAATTTGTATAAAATACTAAGATTTGTATATTCAGAAAGCTAAGATACGCATAAGATATGTACTCTTCGACGTTCAGCTATGCTGACGATTATACAAAGAATATTCTCTTTTGTTTTACAGATGAATACCTGTGGTGGATCAAAAATTTTAGAGATTCCTGAGGCCCAAACTAAGAAAAATTCTGAAACAAATAATACTATTAAGGACTGGTATAAGAAGTGACTAGACAGACAGTCATGCCAGTAAAATATTTCAAAAACAGAGAGCCGATCATACAAAGAATGCTCAAGTATCCTAAGCGCAAAATCGTTGAAGCCCACTGGCTCGCGTCACAATATGGAAGAGAACTTTATTTACCGCATTCTTAAGTATCATCCAAGTTTTCTTACTAGAACCGAGCGTGACAAAAGTCAGACTCCAAGTATCCGAGACTTCGCATTTCCTTGCACATGGCATAAATAGAAAACAAAAAGAATTCCTTGAAAATTTATTTAATGATTATATGTATATCTGATTTGGATTATTGCCCTACCCAATTTTAAAACTGCCTTTTCCTAAAACGTTTCTAGCTGCATAAATATGCAATTTAAAGGAAAGTTAAAAAATTTTTTTATTTTTAATAGTTAGAAAGCAAATAACAGTTTATAAAACAACAATAATATGTATATATAACAGTAAAAGTAGGATAAATTTCCGAATATTGAGATCTAAGCCAGACACTTATCCAATGTACGTATTGATTCTATAGTCTTCACTAACAAAAAATTTGCATATAATACTTGTTTTTATATTGTGAAATTTTACATACATATTTAACATAAATTATTATAAGATACATTTGCATAATTCAGGAATTTTTAATTCATATGCACATTTAAGTCGATGTCATGCCATACATAATGTAAAAGTATGTATTAAGTACTGATTCAAATACGCGTCGTACATAAATAGTGAATATGTAAGAACTACACGCGCAGGATCAGATAAAAATGGCGAAGTGTAGAGCAACTGCTGGTAAAGTGTAGAGTTATATATTTGTTCATGTTGAGGATAGACGAAACCATAAAGCGGTTTGGTTGCCACAGAGAACGTTAATTCTTTCGCTACGGGCAGATTGCCGCGGTGCGGCACTCCCGCTGAACGAGCCGTCACGCCAAAACAATGCTTGGTACGCGAGAAAGATCGTCAGCGGCCGCGTTTACGCCTCACTGCAAAACGAGCTGCTCTGACGGTATTTTTCGAAGAAGAAAACTTTCCTCAAAACTGGGTATTTATAACTTCTTAACATACTCACTTTTAATTACAATTTGGAAAAAAATAACATTACAGAATATAATAATATGATATAATATAATATAATTGTATGATACTAATAGCTTTTAATAATAGTATTGCGTGTGGTATTTTTCGAAACATGGTGTAACACATAGACCAACATCACAAATCTGGCACTGGTATCACGATTCGCTCCACAGTTCCCATCAATCGATTATAATCGGCAACATATTGAATCTTCTTTTGCATGCGATAATGACGTTTCATGTTAACAAATTCTTCATTGTGAAAAGAGGACAACATATACACTGCCCTCTTGTTAAATCATTTTATTGTTAATAAAAGGCTTAAGGATGTACAATATTCGTCGTATGTAGTCACCCGTAGTAGCGAAAGGGTTAAATATCAAGGAGGGAGGGGTGAGTATACGATACACTGTTGCCACTCCTATCTGTTATTACGCGCGCGGATTTCCACTAAAGTGAATGGTCGTGTAGTATACGATATGGGTTGAGATGTTGTTGACATAGAAAGAATGGCACGCGTGGAAAAGGAAGAGAGTCTGATTGATCAAAAGAAACATATCAACGAGACAATAGTAATGCAATGACGAAATTTGCATTTTTCATTTCTATTGAATTTATCAATGTAATTGTGAGATTTTCCTGATTAAACTAAGACAAAACATGACATAATTTAGAACATATTTGCTTATTTAATAAATGATAATAATTTATTCTTTTTCGTCTATTAGATGAGTTAATGTGATTTAAACCATGTCGTGTCTGATCCTATTTTAATCAGTCAAACTTCACAAATACGTTAGTAAAAAAAATAAATAAGGAAATAAAGAAGTTTCTTATTGAGTTAGTAATATCTCCTCGATATTTGAATTCGGATCAGTTACAATAGTCAACCGACGAGCTGCGTAGTCACCGGGGCATGTGAAAAGGAACACTCCACTCAGTAGTTAGGATATCTACCGGACATTTACGGTGTTATATAGGCCGTTTAGGGCAATTATCCAATCTTACCTGGATGTTTCACAACAGAAATTTCAGACTTCGAACTAAACCTCAATTAAAACTTTGAACTTTGAATTAAACAAGAGCTTTGTAAAACATTTTAAATTTTGGTCTTTAAGAACTGTGTAAATTATTAGAATCTTTAAACTTTGTATTTATAAATAAATATTGTATATTCATTAAATATATTCAGCGTTAACAAATTACTTTTATTAATTTGATTTTAGTGTAATTATCTTTTTTTAGTTTAGTTTTTAGTTTAGTTTCGTGTATATATTATTGATTAAAGTATTTGACATGACAAATAAGAAGAAACAAATCACAATATCTATGGAGCAACAATTAAAAGTCTTAGAAGACAAAAGTAACAAGTACTACAGTGTTGTTATAAAATATAACGTAGATAAATCAACGTAGGATAAAGAGGAACATTGCGAAAATTCTAGAATTTGCAGACAAAAGAAGGATACAAAAAAGAAGACAAAGGATAAGAAAACCTTTATATGAGGAACTAGATCAATACTTACTGACGTGGTTTAAGGAGAAGAAGACTTCTGGAGATCATTTATCGGACGCCCTGCTTTTTAAAAAGGCTACCGAATTGAGAGACAACATGGGGTCATGTTCTAGTTTTAGAGTAAGTGATGGCTGGTTAGCGGGGTTTAAAAAACGCCATAACATACGTCTAATGCGAACCAATGAAAGGAATGTTGTTGCCAATGAAGAAGGAGCTAACAAATTTATTAAGGACTTTGAAAAATTAATGAAGAGAGAAGATATTACGAAGATATTAAGAAGATATTACAATGTGGATAACACTTTTCTTTTATAGAAAACTCTTCCCTCGAAGATACTGGCGGAAACCAAAATAAAGAAATATCCGTAAAAGAATATAAGAGCCGTAAAGACAGTTTTAAATTTGTATTATATGCAAATGCGTCTGGAACGCATAAACTGATGCCTTTAGTCATTAACAGAGCCTTGAAAGATCATAAAAAGAAACTTCCGGTTACTTTCAAGTCACAAACTCGTCTCAACTCAATGGCTGTGTTAAGGGATAGGGAGAATTTGGAGAAACAAAAAGTTCAAAATTTATTTACCAATTATTTAGCTCTACATGCACGTTACTCTCTGAAGGACTCGATAACATACTCGCTTACTTGTTTATTTTCTTCTGATCGCTTCTAATAACCTTTAACCACTTTTAATCGCTTTTGATTGCTTTTGTCTCAATTGAGACGTGGACGTCCTTCGACGCTCACTAGCGCGACTCACTGCATTGATGACCATCCTTTTTAGAACTCGAATTGTCATTCGAACAAATCCGATAATTGTGAGTTGGCTATCTGCAAGATGAATGCCTCCCTGGCATTATCGAAAGTCCACCTTTGTGCAGGCCTCTGCACAAATGCCTCTTTGGGGAATGATGGGAACAGACTTAGGCTTCCTTGGAGACGTTGGTGTATGAACAGGGTCCTATCTGCTTCTCTGCTCCTGCAACGTGTATGGTAGACAGTAGGACTTTGAAAAGTGACCCTATCTCAGTCCTAGTGATGATTCTACCGTCAAATCCGCATACAGGCAGCTGAGTATTGTGCATGACTGAAGCGCGCTGGTTGAGTGTATTTCAACCTCTCGCCCATGAAGGCCGATAGAGCTTCATGCTAGATATAGACTTACAACGTATTTGAGGATCCCCGCAGAAAGAATTGCCAACACATAGGTTTATGGGAAAGATAAATAAAATATCAAATTATACAATTTAAGAAATTAAAAATAAAGAGAATGTCTTTGATTTTGTTTATATTTTCTTAATTCTTAAATCAGAGCTGTGTATAAGAACCAGATGAGCACTTTTAAAGTTTGTAATTAAATAAATTTAAATAAAATCAATTAATGTATAAAAATCTATTATATTACCTAAACAACATAACAGTTAATGTTAGGTAAATAAATGTGGATAGAAACAATCAATGATAGAGTGACATAGTAACCAGGTATTTGTATTATATAACTGTTTCATGTTATATTTTCAAAACAAATTCTCTGTAAAAAAAAATCATAAATAATAGATCTCTGTAACAGATCACTTATTTATCTTCTCATAAAAAATTATTTTTTCTTCAGTTGTGCTATGAACTGCACATGTATTGTTAATTTAGCATAATAATAATGATGAGGATAACAAGAATGATAACAGAATTTTCTAATTAAAATAGAAACTTATGTTTATAATATAATATATATAATTATATAATATTAAAAATAGTTACTATACACACACATACACACACACGCACGCACGCACGCACACAGAGGGGGTCAAAAAAAATGTATATACACTTTAATAGATTTTATCAGTGACTGTGTTTTGGGGTTCTATTGTAATCATAGAAGTCAAAGCTGATCTATATTCATTCTTTGACGCCTGTATAGATTCAACTCACACCTTTTATACAGCTTTTTCTTTTATTGAGGCATGCATAGATTTTTCTGGCCCCCTTTGTATGTAGAATTCTCCATAAATTTTTACATTATAGTTGAATTTATACATACAATATATGAAGATAGTTTAGCTTTATATTAACACTCGCATACATACATGTATTGTATATATGCATATATGTATTATGTACATATATGTCGGAGATGAAAGACTCCAACGATGGCTAATTTCAATGAAGATTCATTAAACGCCCACAACCCTATCCCCGACGTTACCCCGACATATATGAACATATATATGTAATATATACAATGTATATATCATAGCTTACTATACCTCACTTTTTGTTTATCTTGATGACCATAATATTCATTAATAACAAGTTTACAAAGAAATAAGTGGAACACAATTATAAGAAAACATATACTGATCCAAAAAAACGTTGGTAAGCCTCCTAATTGATGTCCATGTTTATGTAAAGCCATTACAAGATGATCATGTGCTGGAGCTACAAAAAAGTTACGTGTAATATATATATTTAATTCTTGTGGAGTTTATGAGTTTTGGTTGATTAAAAGATTATATCTACATCTTACACAAGATAACATTTTTTTAACATTTACTATGTAGAATTATATAGCTTGTAGATAATATAAGATATAGATATCATTTTTCATATTGATTTCGATTGATGTGCTATGTTAAAACAAGATTCAGCATCAGCAATATCGGCGATATAAATAGCATACTCCTAAACGACTTTAATCGAACAAAATTTACAAATGTTATAATAAAGTATTATATATATACCAACCATCGTCTATAGCATGTACATGTAAAGCATTTCGCAAATCTTGCATATGTTGATAATCAGATGTTACATACAGTATAGCCGTTAATGGTTTTGTCAATTTCACTGGAATGCTTGCATACAATTGACTCAATGAAACAGGTGGATTCAAACATCCAGCATCACATCCAAAATAGACACTATCACTCTTGTCTACAGCTACTTTTAAAACTGCACGATTATCTTCTCCAACCGTTACTGATATATTTAAATGTGTTACATTACCATAACTTATTCTCCTAAAACATACATAAAACATAAGAAAGTAAGTTAATAGTCGTCTCCATAATTTTTTCAAAAAAATATTCTATTCTGCAAAAAGTAAAAGAATTATTTAAGCTGTTAGTTATAATCATTTACGTTATACTTGCCATTTTTTAATGTCAATTTGTATAACAAACGTGTTATGTATGAAACTTATATTTACTATACTTTTTATTAAAAATATTTTAATACCATACCTAAATAAATAATCCCGATTAAGATATTGTGGATCAATATTAAATTCAAGATGTTGATTACTAAAACGTAAACTACCAAGACTTAAAACAATAGCTTGTTGCACTGCTGCAGGATCACCAATCATTAAATGGTGACATCCTTGTTTTTCCAATGTTATTAACCATGCTTCAACGACATTGTTCATAGCGTCAATAGAGGATGTGTCTTTCCATAACCGTGGAGCATCTCTAAAATAGCAAAATAAAATAAAAATTCTACACAAAAATATTTATAAATATCTGTATTACTTACAAGGTGTGATGCCCGCGGTAACAGCCTTCATTCATGGCTATATTTTTTTCTATATCGTGAATACCTTTCGAAATTTGAGACAATACATAATATAGAGTGGAATTTATTTTATGACCATTTATTGCACCATCAGCTTTAGAGTCGCTTATTCTAAGACCTGTGTACCAATAACTTTGCCAAAGATTAATATGATCCTCTTTTAAACTTTGGTGCTGAATACTGATTGCTTTCTTAATTGCCTGTAATAAAATATATAAAATTGAAGCATGTAATAAATTTTTAATGTTTTATAAATTATATATACCTCTATAGCTTTTTCTTTGGTTAATTCATATTGAATGTGGTGTTCTTCCATGAGTGTAGGTTCACTATACTGTATACTTGTTAAGAATTTTAATTTTATAGAACTTCTTGCTTTAATTTGTAACATTCTTGGAGGTCTTTTATAAACTATCGATACTGTCACAATTTTATTTGAGTTAGATAATGGAATAAATCCAGAAATTAGATTATATTCATCCAGAAAATCATCTACCTGAATTCTGAACACAAATAATTGTATGTTAACATATACATGTTATAGTACCAATCTTTATATTATAGTTATTTACAAAAGTATCTGCCTCTTTTACTAATGCAACATACTAATTTAACTAACGTCAAATTTAAGATCAATTATTATTATTTACATTAGTTTAAATCTTAGTTAATATCTTTTACATTAAAATACATTCAATTTAATTTATTAAAGGAAATATTATTGCTGCAACACAATTGCATATTTGCAAATTTTAAGTTAAATGTGTTATTAATTTCACAAATACCTAATCTTTTCAAAAAATTTCATTATTTTCCAAACATTCTTGGTAATTAGAAAACAATCATATTAATAATCAGTAGTGATCATTGAAATATTAGATATTGTTAATGATTGATTATATAAATTTGAACAATATAATAATTCAAATCTACAAGTAAATTGAGAATATTAATAATTGCTTCAATCCCAACATTATAAAACATTTTCATGATTATTCAATTATAAATTTTATTCAATAAATTGATTTTCTTTGTTTTATGAAAAATCACTTTTTCGCAGTTGTAGCATTATTCCACTACACTGGCAATATATTATGAATAAAGTTAAATAAGTACTTGATCACTTCTATATGGTAATTATCCCAATGTGTAGACATCTGTGGCTTCAATGGTACATTTTGGGAAAGTGAAAGAGGATTAGTTATTTTTATATCTTGTACCAATATTGCATCAAATATTCTATGAGCATAGTATTGAAACTCTATGTAATATCCTTCTCTAAAACACTGGTAGCGATAAACAATCCCGCTCGTAAAGTGAGTAATCGTAGCATCTCGATAAAAATTGGTTTTAAGTAAAGGATGAGAAATTAAGGGTTGCCACTGTATTGGCAATGATAGTGCTCTTCCTCGTTTTATATATATTAAAGCCTCTGGTAAAATAGGAATTCCAAAAACCCCATTGCCGATATATGGCAAATAATGATGTTCTCCTTCCTTTGGTGGATTGTGGAGAATATTTGCATTATATTCTTCAATATCTGAATGAAAGGCAGCTAGTCGCTCATTCATACAGTGATCTTCAATTGCTATAAAAACAGAGATATGTCACTATAGAAAATAAATATAGCAGTTCATAAATATTAGACAATCATGGAAATTCTAGGCTAACCCTTATTCCTTGTCCAGGCTTGACAGGATCAAAATCTTTACCCTTTACCTCAGTGCATTCCTCAATAGTTTGACAACACTATGTTATAAAAATCTAAGCATTCATTAAATTCATAATTAAAATACAAATGGACTTCTCCACTTATACTATACTTTCTATACTTTCTTTCTCATCACTTTAAAAATGATTCTGATTGGCCAATATTTATGAATATCAGTATAGAGAATAAATACACTGATTTCTTATAAAATATTTCAATATTGTAAATATTACAAGTACATTTTTTCATATACTTCAATATTAATTTACATTGTCATGCTATTAAAGTACTATTGAAGTATTGTTTGTAGGATAGAATAGAATAAAATAAAATAGAATACAATATATGTAATATCTGATATAAATATAACTGAGAACCTAATAATATGAATATCAAAATTTATTACAACAGTGATCAATAGGTATAGTGAATATAAACAAAGAAAATTCTGTAATTGATATATAAATTTCAATTAAAGATGGAAATGCATTTATATTTTGTAAGTTCATTTTAATAGTTTGCAATCTTCTTCCATTAAATTCCTGTTGCTTTGACGGAGGAAAAATTATAACCTATTCCAATTGTATAATTTATTTTACACATAATATTAATATTATAGACTTAGAATAGGAAACTTTTATTACCTTTTATTGATTCTCTAGTAGAAGAAAAAAGCCACTGCACAAAAGATGGACCAAAATATAGAAGTATTCCACCACATATAGTAAGTAATATAAGTATCTTACGATATGAGTAATTCCCATCAAGTAAGCGTCGTATTCGTTTTCCAATTTCACGGTTATCGAACATCGTTCCAAATCTTATCATATTTATGCACTTTATAAACTTCAATTTTCACACGTGTTTTTAATTGCTGTTTTATTTTTGTAAAACTGTGCGGTAACATAACCTTCTTGTTTTTATCGTAATATTAATTTAATAAAAAAACAATAAAACCACTTTTATATTTCCTTTATGTACGTTAACAACGTTTCTTGACATTTCCAAAATTTTATAACTAGCACATTTTCAATATTCTAATATTCGCTATTCTCTTATAACTTCTTTACATCTTATAAATTTATAACGATAAATACATATGACACTTTACAAGTAATGTAGTTACAATTTCAATATTTATTATAATCGATATTCCTTAATTCTTATTAAAATGGAATTAATGGAACCAAACATGAAATTTTTGAGTATAAGAAATATGTAAATATTCGATTGTTACTTCTACACAACTATGTATTCTGGTTATACCAAGTTATACGTAGTTTAATGTACTTAGTATAGTACATTGCATGTAAGTATATTGTATGTAAGATTTATTTCACATATGTTATAGAACTGTTCTGCTCGATAAAGTGCACGAAAAATAAAAAATGATTCTATTAATATATAAAGATAACTTTTCTTATAAATACGTCTGATTTAAGATGTTGACCTTTTAAGATACAAAAAAGTATTCATAGAAGTATCATTACCCAAATCAATATATACATACATAGATATTTAATTTAAATACGACTATTAAATTTAGTCTAACAATTCGACATGCTATAATAGGCTAACTGTTGTTGATGATTAATTGCAAGTAATTAAGCCAGGTGATAGACAGTATATAAATACGATAAAGTGAAATGTATTAAACGTAATGAATAAACAAATACAATATCGAAAAAGATAGCAGGTATTTAAATGTATATCTGGTCTATAATAATAAATACTATATAAGTGTAAATTATTGTATGTGACATATCAAATCTCTAACTTTATTTTTAAATAAAGCATCAAGAATACATTACTATATAAATGAAGACAACCTTGCAATATTTAATTATAATATGCATTAGTATTTGATTTAAAAGTAATAATAACAACACAATTATATTGCACCTTAAATCCATTGTTTATTATTATCTTATCTATAATATGTCAACAAATGTAGAAAGAATATTGTATAGTAAATAATAATATCACACTGTTATTACTAAATAGCAATTACTTTTGTAAATCATTGTTGAGTTGAATTAATATCAGTTTGTAATAAATTAGGCTGGTGGCACCCAACCACCAAACACTTTCTCCAATTCTCGTGCTGCAGCCAAACATAAATGATCATTATAGGGAGCTGCTACGACCTTCAATAAAAAAATTATAACTTGTTAGATAAATTAGTAACTACTTTACTAGATCTATTACTCCATTAAAAAACTTAAAATATATATTTAAAAATTTACAATCTTTTGCAAAATAAGCTTCGTTGAAATATAATTATACACATGTAAACACTATTATACATATCTATATCTACATATAGGGTGTACCTTCATTAAGAAATAAAAATTTATCAGCTAATTCAGGGTTTCATCTTTTTAAGCCAAGGATCCTAAAGTTGATCTTCGAGAATTTTGATAAAATTTGAAGCAAACTCTTTCAAGCTCTAGTTTTATACTTTATGACATTTTAATAAATTGTTTAAATTTGTAAAAAACAATGAAGCTCTAAACATAATTTTGATATTTCTAATTTTCATCTTAAATTTATTTCTTAAAATCTTTTTCATGTGTTATTAAATGCTTAATATTCTGATCCAATTACTTAGTAATAATTTACCTACTTGCACTCCAATAGGTAGTCCGTTTTTGCCTACACCAAGAGGCACTTGGCACACCGGAAATTTTAAAACATTAAAAAGACCCCAATAACCAAAATTAAATGGTCTTAAGTAAGCTGTATAATGATAACCAGTTTGAAAAGGTGAAGATGGATAAATTAGTATCCCATTATGCTCCAATTTATCCTAAAAATAAAAGTATAATTGCAGCACAATACCACAGAAGGCAGGTAGTACAATGTACTGCCAAGTGCATTTTACCATCAAATACTGTTTCATATTTGTTGTTACATTCATTGCCCATTCAGCATCTTCTCGAGGAAATATGTCTTCATCAATTAGTTTCATAATAGCAGCTAACGTTAAGTCTGATCTCCCAGTTAAAAATTTGGAAATTTCTGTAAGAGCACTCGCACGGTACTAAAAGAATTACATTTATATAAATTACTACATTCTTCATCATTGTCCACAAGATTTTCTTTACTGGATTAATTTATCGATTAAATGATAAACATGATACTAAATATCAAAAAAATAGAACTGCCATTTAAGATCAGAATAAAGCAATATATACTAGTATTGGATACTGATCACTATTCATTTCAAACAATAACAATACACTAATCATAAATCGAAACAAGGGGAGCTATTATCACCTTCTTGAATAAAGTATTTACGAATATAGTCACGTAGGAGTGCTTAAGCGAGTAAGATAGAGCATTGATTAGATATACCTTAACTAATAACCATCACTTGTTATACAAAATGAAAGATGTTACATCTACATAATTATACATACATAACAATACATAATTATAAACATACGTAATGCATATAAGTTATAGTACCTTCCCGTTTGTTATATTTATTTTGAAATCAAAATTTTCTTGTGTCATCCAAAATCGCCATAATCGATAACTATATTCAGAACCAGGTATTTTTATCTGTAATTCAAATAAATTACAATTAAAACTTCTTAGAAATAAAAATATAACTATAATTATAAGTATCTAATTCTTGTAATCTAATTTATTTTTAAAGTTTTTAAATATAAATAAAACAATGTAGAATGAGAGAAAATGTAAAAATATAGCAATGAAAGTTGATTTGTTCTAAAGAACAAAAATACGCGAAGATTTTCATTAAATTTTTTAAGAAAAAAAGCATTTTGAGACAAGAATCTATGTATTGTCGTCAATATTGTTTGTCCGTTTGTGACAATATGTTTAAAATTGTTGACAAAATATTCAAAATTTAATAGCCGAAGGTGTCATAAACTAGGTATTTCTGTGAGGTCAATTAAAAACTGTGTATTCCAAGACTCGAACCTAGAGAAAAATTATGTGATTTTACTAAAAGCCTCATTTAGATATTGCCCAACCTCTCTAAGTAAAGGCATTCTGAGGACATATAGAAGAATGTTCGCGATGCCCTAAAAGCATAATTGGAAATTAACTGCGTTTGAAAAGAACCAATGAGCATGCATATTTTTTAAAATGCGTTGGAAAATACTTCAAAATCAAACATTCCAGTCTTAAAATGTATTTAAGATTTATTATAATCCTTCTTGAAATTAGAATCTTCTAACAACATTCTCATGGAAGTTAATCGTTTAAATAATCACATGGAATTGTCTAGAATTCATGCAGAAAAATCCTTCACATATTCTCTACATTTGGATCAGTTATCCAGTAACCAGGTATGAAAGAATCGCTGACTATTCTGGTTAGCTTAGAGTTCCAAGAAAGAATAACTCTGCATAATTATATTGCAACTCTATAAAAACCGAAAAAGTTGAGCAACTTTAGCTACCTTATAATATCCAGGGATCAAATAATAATAGCTGAAGAATTTTCAATGCATATGTGGAAATAAATAACAAACTCAACTGCCTTCATTCACTTAAATTTTTGATTCACTGGTATCCTCCAAACTATCACTCTACTACATGTTACTGCCTTCACTTCAAAACATCCATCAATTGAAATATTTTGGAAATCATTATGCTCAGTTCAAAGTTTAGTCACTAAGTTATCTTTCTCCCCTTTCTGTATTACCATAACCATTCACACAAACAATAATCGTTTATTATAGTATGGACTCTTCAGTAAGGCTCACCTAACAGACCTATACCTTAGACACAATGAGAGAAGAGAGAAAGTGAATGTTTCATCCAAGGTCTGCTAGTAAATAATCGTTTATTATATGTAGTGTAACATTATTATAGAACTTCACAATTAAATATTAAATACTGCATGTATGCAACAAAATAAATATAAAAATAATGCAACATTTCCATAATATAAAAAGTAAATAAAATTATAATTAAGATATATTAAATGAATATATAATATGAAATAATCAAATCTATGAAGAAATGTACAATTTTTAAGAACTTACTTTTGTTGCAGATCCAGTAATTTCTTTAAAATGTTGTACAACTTTTAAAAGAGCAGCTCTCATTTCAGAATTTACTTTACTTGCTCTTATATCACCTGAATTTTCTTGGTAAAAAATATTAAGACATTTTATATCTACTTCTGCATCAAGCTTAAGTAATGAGATTTTTTCTCCAACTAAAACTTTCAAAATAGGTACTAAATCTTCTGCTTTTTTACACATTGGTCCCACTCCTGCCATTGAATTAGGATAATCCTCTTTTCGAAGTCCAATACCTTTCAGTGGTGTTAAACCTAAAAATGGTTATATACAGAAGCTTAGCAACTGGCAACCAATACTGATGCATATGCTGCCATAGACGCATAATTATAGGCAGAATACATTGTAATAGTACCGGGAGATTTTTATGAATAATGTTTAAGATCAAAATGTTGAATTTTACAATACATCCAAAAATCGTTAAAATCAGAGGAAAAAACGCATTTCTGCAGTTTCCCTAAAGCTGTTTATGTTATTCAAAAAATAAGAAATTATAAATAAGGGAAGGATAGACAAAACCAAATAGGTGGGATTGTTTTTCTACATTAAAAATTATGGTATATAATATTAATATTTGCAAGTTTGAAAACCTGCAGTTGATTGAAATCCAAACACTCCATTAAAGAAAGCAGGCATTCGAGTAGAACCACCAATATCACTGGCAACAGAAAATGCAGTTCCACAGGCTGCAGTAATTGCTCCTTCTCCACCACTACTTCCACCAACATTTCTAGTAGTATTATATGGGTTACATGTTTGTCCATATACATTATTCCTTGATTCAGTCCAGAGATTTAATTCAGGAATGTTCGTTTTTGCAATCAAAATTCCACCAGCATTTTTCATAAAGCTTATTGCTGTTGCATCTTCTTTAGAACGGAAAGTACATCTACTTGTTAAACCCATCGTATGAAGCATATCTAAATAACCATAATAAATGTGAATAAATACAGACTAATTAAATAAATAAATAAATGCAGAAAAAATTAGTAGCTTCAGAAATTCATTATTTTATCATCGTGAATGAAAATCAATCTAATATAATTTAATCATGTTGTGGGATATGTGTGGGCTACTGTGGGTTTTGGTTACTTGAAGAAAAACTAATGGAAAATAGCATATATACTACGTACTGTACACAAACATAAATTTTTTGTAGTTAGATATTTCTAATTCTAATAATATTTATATTATTGACATTTGTAACATGACATAATGCTTCATTAAAAAAAACAAAAAAACTTTTTGACCAACACAATACATATCATTATGACGTAAAATATATAGGAATATTAAATAAAACTACCTTTTGCTTCATTGCTTTCTTTTGTTGTGAAAGGAACACCCAAAAATGGTTTCTTCTCTTTTATTGAATCAATATTTTCTAATGTTTGTAAAAATTTATCTACTTCTTTGGCTTCTTCTAAGGCATCAGAATATCTATCTTCAACTATTGCATTTATTATCCCATTTACTTCTTTTGCCCGATTTATAAATGCTGTTACAACTTCTACAGATGATATCTTCTTTGTTCTATAAAAATATTTGTACACTTCAATTTTATATCCATCCTTAAGAGTATTTTTTTTAATATTTATCTATTACCAATTTATTATATACCTCATAATAGCAATAATTTAAGTTATTTGTTATTATTATATAGAATGATTCCAGTAATCGGTCAATCTTTTAACAGATTTTGTTATCTTATCACATGATCTTTTTTATAAGTGCATTGATAAACTAATAGAATGTAGTCATGCTTTTTTTATGTCATTTTATAAATAAAAGTTACGAAATATTTCAGTCTTTGGTAAATTTAAAGTAAATACTCAAACGTTTCACTATTACATTTAATAATATTTCACTTTATTTAAATGACCTCCAACATAAATTAAATAAATGATATTAAGTAATTCAATATAAAGAAATAAACTAATAAAGTACCTGATTCTTTCAGCTAATTCTGATGCACTTGTCAGTAATAAATCATTCTTAATAGGTGGTACTTTTTGTATATTATGATCATAATATAACCCAAAAATGAAATCTATCATACAGTCAAATATTATATGAAATTTGATAATCAAACATTTTAAAACATGTTTTAAGACCTTGATTGACATTTCGAATATTGTCTGGCACTTGTCACCTTCCTAAAGCGTATGAAAATATTTGAATTAATTCCTCTCATTATGTAATTAAAAAAATGTAATTTTCATATAATTCTTAAAGTGTTACGTATTTATCTAATGCAAATGAAATATGTGCAATTATGTTCTTGTAAATAGATATCTAATAACAAATTTTATTTTAGAAATTTCGTATGTATTTATATATACCTGTGTTCGTGAATTCTTTACTAAAGTACACATATTCGTAAAATTCATATAATTAATTGAATTGTATGCATATTATAGCGTGTCTCAATGATTTTGTTACAAAGAAATATTTCCGTTATTTTTAATAACACGAAGACATGCCTAAGAAATGAATCGCTCATACAAGATTAAAGGTACACATATTATTATACGAGACACTTTTTCATAGTCATGCGCTATGCTCTTCGGGATCTAAATTTGCGTAATTTTTTTTAATGGAATCTTATATTTTTTTACACACTGGTAAATACGTTTTTCTATTGTTTACACAAAAATATTAAGGTATTTATGACTGAAAATTTTTGTGAAAAGATATTTCAATTTTAATTTCATCAAATTTATTATAGAAAAGACAAAGGAAACATAAACTCGAGAATAAGTACTAGTATTACCTGTGTATACACAGTGGTATACATATATATGTATATGCATACCACAAAATATGTAAATATCAATTTATAACCTTATTTGATAGAAATCTATAATATCAGGTGGTACATTGATTTAGACTATTACTTAATATGTGTACAATATCAAATATATATTAAAATAAAAATGTTTAACAAATTAAAATAATTGAAGTTTATATTACAGTACAGTATATCTTATCAGCACATGATATGAAATTATGCTGTTGATCTTTTTTATATATTATTATCAGGTAAGTTAGTTAAATATTATTGTTAAGTGAAAGAAGATTAGATTGTATTTAAAATTAAACATACGTTATAGGATTATAAAAAATAAAATAAAAAATGGAGAAGGTCAAAAAAATAAAAGTGGTATGTAATGATAATCTTCAATATTAAAAATTTAAATTATTAATATCAAAAAATATATTTTTAGAATCAAGCTATTGAATTACTTTGGCTAAATAAGAAAGATGCGCAGAAGAAGAAGAAGACAAATGGCCACAAGATAGGAAAATCATTGAATATTCATGCTCAATGTAAAATTATGCATTATTACAAGAAAAGTAAGAGGCAACATCCAGCAAGTTCCTCAAAATACAGGATACTCTCTGAAATAAAGTCACATACGATTAAAAAAAATTGGAGTAAAGTTAAAAATCTATTTTTATTATTACTAAATTTTTCTATTGATATTGAACCTTTAATATGGCGTTATAGTCTTATACTTTCATTATTTAGCAATGTCGATAATTTATCTAATATTTCCCAACTTTTTGAAACATGTATTGGTGCTTCACATTCTGATAAAAATTTAATACTAAAAAATTTATTGTTATTGCGTCATAAATAAACAAATTTTGTTATTGTTTATTTTTACAAAATTTTATGTTCACTAAAAATTAAAATAAATTTTTAGCATATTAGATTCAAAATTAATATAAGAATGCATCAGGTAAATGGGATCACTTAAATATCTGCCTTGTTTATTGTTGTATGAAAAATGAATAAATTTCACAAGACAAAGTTATACTACGTTGCATGTGTCAGTGGAAATAATTTTTATTCATAGTCATTCTTTTTACAAGATTTCAAGATTTCATCACCGTTTTTTTAAATAGAACCATATATTTATTATTCGATATTTTGGAGGGCATGAAAAACAATTTCAACGACCTGAATACTGTTTCCATCATTTAATCTTGAAATATTTGTGTTTGAAGTGCACATGTGTAATATTTAATTGTGTTCAATCGACGGTTGATAAAATTAAAAAATCCAAATTTTTCGGTTTCGAAACAAAATTTTTTAACTTTTGAAGGCTCAAATGAAAGTTTATGACGTGAGAAATTAATTGAGAATAGTTTTATCCAAATGTTCTCCCGGATTTTTTAGTTATAAACAAGTTTAAAAAATTGACTCACTCGCGGGCTAAGAAACACTATAACCATCTACCGGTAAAACGGTGGAACTAATCTCCTTATGAAGAAATTAAAAAAATCAAATTTTTCAGTCTATGAGGCGAATTTTTGAACTGTTCAGGAATTAAATTTAAGCTCTATCTCTCAAAAATCATCTTTGTATAACATTATTCCGGTTTGGACCATAATTAATTAGTTACATACAATTAGTAAATATTTACAATGTCCTATTTTGGGCATGGTGGCGCCACCTCTGCTCTACTCATTTCTGCTTACAAACAAATTTAGTTCGTCTTAGGTCTTAGCATTTATTCGAAGATTTACTTTTCTAATAAACGTTCGAAAATATTTATTTGGTAATTTATAGGTGCGGTGTGAGTAACTCGATTGACAGTTTGTAAAAATCGAACAATAAATTTTGTTAAATATAATCAAATAATGAACCTGAAAAGAATGTTATGATATCTATAATTTAGTATATTCTTCCATTTCATCGTTAATATGGATTTTGGTACTTTACTAAGTGTGGCCCAGAAAAATGAAAATAATAAGCAGGTTATTATATTTTCTCCTTTTAATCTTTCTTTAACTTTGAAAATTTATTATTTCAATAAAATTATATGCTGTTTATTATAGTCAATTGCTTGTTACCAAACAAAATTTTCTCCACCAAAAAAACCAACGAAGCAGAGTAAATCACTTTCGGACAATATAAAAAAATTTTTAGCTCGTAAGGAAGAAGAAGAACGCCAGAAAGCATTAGAAGAAAAGAAAAAAAGAGAGGTATATTGGATTTTTATATATAATGTTAACAATTTTATAATGTTTTATTATTATTCTTTTTGTTATCTAGAATTTATTAGCGCTTCGTGATCATAAAGCCCAAAGTCGAATAAATAAACATTTGAAAGTATGTAAAGCTGCAAATAAATCCGTATTGCCAGATGCAATTGACAATGAGAACACAGCTGTTACAATGGCAGGTATGCGAAATGTTATTATATAAGTAAAATAACTTATACTTTAACATGTTAAAAATTAATATTGTTAGAACCAAATTTAAAAAAGTAAATATATTAACATTTAAATCTGTTTTTGAAACTATTACGGAGTTTTGGAAACTTTCTAATTTGTATCTGGTCTTTAGAACACATAATTCATACAACTTCAAAGAAAGTATGAGATTTAATATGTTATTTAATTATTGAGGTACATAATATTAACTTCTAATACAATTATTTATTATGTTGCATTGTCATATTTTGTGTTTAACATAATATAGTATGAATATCAATTTAGGTATAATAATGGTAGTATCTTTTTTACTGTCAGCTAACAGAAAGTAAAAAAATTAGTGTTTATATATTATATATTTAATTTGTCACACTTTTATTTAATGTGAATATTATTGTATCATAGTTATAAATAATTTATTGCATAAAGTGTAAATAATTTACTTATTATACAGGTAGAAATTTATATCTTCAATGTTTTCTTTTCTTTTATTGTAATTGTCATTATAAAGTTATCAGTATATTTATATATAATAGATTTGTTCTATAAATGCTATAAACTAGAGAGGTATATAGCGTATTGTATAGGTTCGGCAGAAACAAAATAATGCAATCCTATGTATGATCAATGATCTACATATTAATGAGTATTCGGAAGTATCAGTCTTTATTCATAATGGGCAGTATTTTTGCCCACAGGTAATTGAATATGAATATATGCAATCATCGCAACATTCTTACTTTTCCACAGGGCAATGGGATTTTGTGAATTTACATGGCAGTTCAGGTCAGAATAACTATAGTTCTAGAGGGTCACTATAGGTTAATAATTATAGTCTGGGGGGCACAGACTCTAAATTGATTATATTATTTTTGCTCAAGTGTTTTATGTGATAGTATACTATAAGTATAATAAAAAACTGTTATATAATATAGCTCATTTAAAATTTTATTAAAAAATTGTAATATAATTATGAAATATAAAGGGAACAGTAGAAGACTTGTGATTAATATGCTATAAGGCAAAAAAAAGTAGATTGACAATCAATACAATCATGAGTTGGACTTAAATAAAAAAAGTCGTTTCCACATTAGAAGAATATGCTTAGGATCTGTTGATTAGATATGTTTCACTCCTCTCTCTCTCTCTCTCTGAGTAATATGAGCCCTTAAACTCTTAAACCCTTCTTTTAGCATCATGTATGTACAAAGTGTTCCATGCAATGGTTTCAGATCATACTTCCATTATCAATGCAGTTAGAGAAAAGTCTTATAAGTAGAAGTTAGTGGTTCAGAGAGTTTTACATTCATAAGATCATACTTCTTTATTAGTGCAATGGCACATATACATTCCACAATCCTATTATCTTCTTAAATCGAAATGTATATTGGTTTTTACATGGGTTGAATTTTCTCGTTATTCTACTTAAAAAGTATTAAGGTAATATAGTTGAAATTTGAGTAGTTTAAAAGATATCTTAACTTTAATTTTGTAGAACTTATCATATGAAAGACAAGAAAAGACGTAACGTACTACTCTTGTGTTTACCTTAGGCGTGCAGTAGCATGTGTTGAGGCACGAGACGGACACTTGGAACATTTTCTTTAATCATCCATAACTCGAAAGCTAAGGTATGCAGGATATATGTTCTTATGACGTTTTTTATTTTAACGTCTAGATTAGCCCTTTGAAGTATGGACATGCATTTATGAATTACCCTATATCAGTTTATATATAAGTACATATGAAAATTTTAAGTTAAAATGTTTAATAAGTTCTAGTTATTCAGCAAGAAAAATGAAATTTTATTAATATATGTGTTAAATAACATAATACACTATATACAGTATATCAATTAAATTTAATTTATAATTTCCTTATTTATTACTTCATTTTTCATTGTCTATGGAATAAGAGTACATATGAGACAAAATTTCAATAAAATCCAATGTTTGGATCTATTGGTATGAGTTTTCTTGACTCAACCACCGTACTTCGCGTTCCATACTCTGAGGGTTAATAATTGATGCAGCGAAAGAGAGGTCTTACTCCATTTCTTTTTTTTTTCCCTTTTTTGTATAAACGAAATTGCCGCCAAGATGAATTGAATAAACTAATTCGAAATAAACAAGCGGTCCATTGGAAATTTTTCAAGAGAAATATCCAAGTATAACTGGAGCCATTGTTTATGAATCAATTGTAAGTCTTGGTTATAATCTTGTTCGTCTCTCAGAAAGAAACTAGCCTGTTTCCAAAAATAATCATTCATCAATTGAAGTTGCTGGTGGTAATACATCAAAGCTAGTTCACTCATGGAGTTTCAACTTAGAATTAGGATTCAGGGGTCAATTAGAAGGTTTAGAACACTGAAATTCTGTTAGTCAGTGAGTCTCAATCACAGGATTCAATTCTGTTCCAATGTGATCAGATTATCCTTCATAGTAGTCAGTGTGTTATGCAATATCCAAACTTTGTGTCCTTTACACATCTGTAAACACTTCTTATGCACATATCAAACATAATATTTTGACCTACCAGGGATAGGTCTAGTATTAAATCTTAATTGCACATGTCAAAAATAATAACATGTGCATATCATATCTATAATACAAATTTTGGTGGTTAAGAAATAGACATTAAAAAATAAATAAAACATATAATCTCACAAATCATCATAAACACAATTTCTTTGCTTATATGTATGGTCATTCTATGTGCATACAATATAAAAATGTGAAAAATCTTATAATTTTTATATTATACCAAGAATTATATATTTTTTGTTTATCTATAGTTTGTAATTCACAGATTGTATAAACCTATATTAAAATGTGTGATATTAAACTTATATTAAAACTGATATTGTGTATACAGGATATGTCATTTTAATCTTTCCAGACAAATATCTCGAAAGATATGGAAGATGGAGATAAATGTTTCTAATGAAAGTTGCAGCGTATCAAGGAAGACAGATAAAAAATGATTCATGCCAATAACTGCAGTAGTTTCGAAGAAAATAGTTTGTTGGACTTTATGTACCTCATTCTCTATGTATATTATATTAAAAGTATTTGTATATGCTATTATGTTACACTATGTTATGTATATATACTGATTTTAAATATTTATTTATACAGCTCATTTCTTCGCTTCAAAACAAGTTTTACATTTAAGCCATTTTTCTAAACTTGATAGTTTCCATATTGATCTATAGAATATATTTCCAACCTGTAACTTTAGAAGCTGTTTTTAATCCTTCATTATAGATGATTTCCAATGAAAAAAGCACATAGTCAAATAGTTTTTTAAGAATAAACTTCCGTGTAAGTTTCGCAATAATTAGTATATATCGGTTGGTTCTGTTTCTTTATCATTGTGCCAAATACATTGAAAATGAGTAATATTGTAAGGAAAATTGAAAAAAAGGAACAAATTGAATATTTTGTAAAATATAACTAGACGGATAACATTGAAAACTTTGTATGTATAGTTAGTGTTAAACATTAAATATTAAATGTAGGTATATTTATCTGTTCATAGGTCCTTCACAACCTGATGAAGACGACTATGGATATGTTTCGCAGGAAGCATCTGCATTTTATAATCAGTTAATGAGTAAATACAACAATACGACTTCGCAAAAACCAGCTTTCGATGACTGCCGAAAAAGGACAATAAAAGATATAGCATCTACAAAGGTATGAAAGAGCATATATTTTATAGCTTTTGTAGCTTTTTTTAGATTATATTACATTTTCTATACGGAGGGGGAAATGATCAAGGTCACAGTGTTTTGACGATTCTTACACAAATCATTTGTGTATAATATGTATATGTCGGAGATGAAAGAACACCGGAGCCTTTGGCATTTTGGATAATCCCGCAACATTGTAATCTAAAGTCTACTATAGCTGTAATTAAACAATTGTAGTTATTCAATCCGATCGTAATTGTTCGCGAGTTACGATAATGAGCTTGGGCTCGAGGCGACAGCCAGTCGCCGAACGTAGCCC